TGTATATATAGTTTAAAGGGAAAACAACAAAGGAATGTAAAGGCCAAAACAAGTGTATCCCGGCATTAGTTTGGTTTTGGTGTACTTGGTTGTTTGTGCTTCATGTTCTTTTGCTACTTTTCCTCACGTTATCTTCGGTTCCCTTCACTTTCCTTTTCTATGTACTCATACATTATATATACTTTTTGAATGTATACTGTTGGAGTGATTTTACATTTTTAGATTAAACGAATCACAAATCAATATGTGGACGACTAGACGGCTGAGAAGCTCCACGATGAGTCTAAGATGACACTCTGTCGGGAAAGAACATCCAATAATTTCATACAAGCATTCATTTTCATAGACCGTTTATCGAGGAAACACACTTCATACTTTAATGGATCCAAGTATCATTAATTAAAACTAATCTTTCACATAGCAATTTCTCAAAAAATCGATGTTGTATCATTAAAACCGAATAGGTTGGCGGATGCTTTAACCATAACTGTTTTAAGAGCCATGTAACACTGAGAGCAACACTTTCACCTCTTATGAAAATGAAAGAATGCAAGCACCACCATTACATTGTTTGAGATTATACGAATTAGATGAAGGCTACTTGTGTCTCAAATACTATATAAATGATCCTCCTCTTATATCGATTGACTAGAGCTTTAGAGGTAAATGTATGTCCCACGCTGTACAACCTTTTCAAACTTTTTCTATACTCATTCAAAAAAATTCAACCTTCATGATTAGGCCTAAATTAGTATGATTTTATTGAAGGATTTAGCTCGCAAAAATTCAACCTTCATGATTAGGCCTAAATTAGTATGGTTTTATTGAAGGATTTAGCAATTAGGCCTAAATTAGTATGTCATTCTTTATTTTTACTGACATTAGACCCAATGGTATGCCAATATTCCTGGTAAAAGCTTGGCTTCATACCATTAGGATATGGAGTCTTGTTAAATCCAATCGAGAAAACTGTCCCACATATTCCCCTTTTTTTTAACCGCCGTGGTAAAAAACATGATTGATCGTTTTGGTCACTGTTGAAAAAAAGTCTGCTAGACGCATATTCTCAATGTATCCTTGACTATAGAATGATTTATCGAATAGCCAACTTCACTCTCAATCACAGCGATATCTATGTACACTTAGAGTAGACATCAAGAGGTTTGCAGCTTCCACTAAAAATACTTCCCGCTGTTCAAAATCCATGTTCATACCCTTAAGATATCTCAAAAAGCTCGACTTTTGTTCTACAGTTTCTATTGACCCTTTTGGCAACTTTGATAATTCATAATGCTTCCAATTCTTTCTCCCCACGAAACTGTACACATACACAACACTTACAAGAGTTCACCAACACTTGTAAATAGCCAGTGTGTTTTGAAAGATAAAGTAGCTACTTGCAGAGGAACTAGAGGCAACTTCATCAACTTTTGATATCTCGTTTGATAAAAGCCCAACGCTGATTTACTTTTGATCAAAGCCCAAGTTAGAAGTTCTATGTGGATAACCTTATTCTCTTCTTTTTGTCAAACGAAC